CCCCAGAAAGAGGCTGTCAGCCCCAGAAAGAGGCTGACGGGTGTTCCAGGACCAGGGAAGTAGAGGGAGGTGAGGGCGGGGCCAGGACCAGAAGCTGTGCTCCTGGGGCCCAAGAAAGGCACTGAGTTGGTCCCCGGCACGGAGGGCTGCTCTGTAGACTTACCCCAAGAAGCCTGAGGATAGGAGAGTTAGCCCTGGCGGGTGTTGGAGGACCAGGGAAGTAGAGGGATATGAGGGCAGGGCCAGGACCAGAAGTGGTACTCCTGGAGCCCAAGAAAGGGACTGAGTTGCTCTGGGTGAGAAGGGTTAGGAAGCAGTATTGGTTCCCTAGGTGTCTGGGGCCCCAAGACTAGGAATGACACAGGGCTCAAACTAGGAGCATAGAACGACGAGCAGGATGGAAGGGTGAATGTGGCTTAGGGAGTCCTGGCGCAGAGAGCTGCGCTATAGACTTACCCCAAAAGGCCTGAGGATAGTCTGTAAGTTTATTTTTTATTTAATTATTTTTTGGTCTTTTTGAGACTGTCTCAAAAAGACAATAAAAAAAAAAAGAAATGTTTGATGTCATAGCTCAGAGGTAAGAGAATCTATCTAGCATGTGCCGGGCCCTAGGTTCAGTCCCCAGCACTGGAAAAAAAGGGAGAAAAACGTTGGAGCTGGCAGTCCAGAAGTGTATGGTATCTCTTCAATGAGAAAATGTATAAATCACAGAATCTTAACATTGAGAGTGGTGGAAGTTATGTAAGAGAAAGTCACCCTCAGGGGACATCCTCTTTCAGTATTGAGCAGCTGTCACTTTTGTGTCTCTTACATAGAGTGAAACTTTGCTTTCCTATAACTTAAAAATGGGTCCTAGTTACCACCTCAGAGAAGACAATTTTTTTGTTCTGTCAGAAAACTATTATTTCAGCCAAGTATGGTAGCTTACACTTATAATCCAGCACTTAAGAGGGGGAGGCAGGAGGATCACAGTGAGTTCCAGGCCAGCCAGAATTATATAAGCAAGTAAGATCCTGTTCTCAAAAAAAAAAAAAAAAATTGTGTGTGTGTGTGTATTTCTATTAAATAGCATAAATACTCACCAGCTCACATTACTGACCAACTCTCATGCCTGTCTTTGATATTTTTTTACCAAGTTAAACACTCCAGTTCTTTTGTTCATCAAAAAATGTCATTAGGCTACAGGGAGACCCTGTCTCAAAAAGACCAAAAAAAAAAAAAAATCATTAGGTTTCTTTCATTTGGTATTAGTAAATTTACTATTAAAAAAAAAAAAAAACTTTTTAAAGGAAAGAGATGTTCTGCCAAAGTCTCAGAGCAGTAAGTGCAGTGATCCAAGAGGTTGTTTCATAATGTACTAGCCATGCCTAGGGAGGGACAAGATGTCTGCGTTCTCAGAGACACCTGGACCAGGAGCCCACAAACCGTAGCTCATACACCCAATCTAGCCTACCACCCATTTTTATATGATTTGGTGACTGATAAACAGATGAAAGAAGAATACTTTGTGATGTGAAAATTACATGGCATTCACATATCAGTATTCATTAGGTAAAGTTTCACTGGGACTCCATGTACATTCATGCACACAGTTGTCCATGACTGCTTCTGCAGTGCAGCTGGAGTTGTTGAGTTGCCATAGAGACCACGTGCCCTGCAGAGACTAAAACATTTGTATCAGGCCACCTTCTGGTCTACAGCAAGTTTAAAATCAACAGTGACTTCCCACTATCTTGGGAAGATTGGATTCTCATTTCTTGATTGAGTGGAAACCGGGAGCCATCATTTCTTAAGTGAATATTGCCCAAGGTGATACGTAAACAGAAAGGAAAAGTGGTTTATGATTATGCCTTAGAACTAGTAATCTGGGTTTCGTGGGACTTCAAGCCATCTGTCTGGTTTGGGGACATGAGCATCCCAGAGGAAGGTGAGGGCCTGGGCCTCCAGCAGCACCAGCAGAAGAGCAGGAGTCAGAGGTCTGAGTGCTTCAGCACACCGCTGGATGACCCGATGATCCACATGTCAGTCTTTGTTCACAGGGTTAAAGACACAGTGAAGGCTCTGACCCGGGAACAAGAAAAGCTCCTGGGGCAACTGAAAGAACTCCAGGCAGACAAGGAGCAGAGTGAGGTAAGGGGGTCCAAGCTGGTTTGCTTCCTCAGTTGTTCAGCCAGTGTTCATTGAGCCTTTCTGAATGCTGGGCACCCATAGGGGTGAAAATGTAAAGAAGACCCTGTGTACCCTCTACTCCACAGTGTCTTATCTACTCTTGAATCGTAATTAGTCAACGTGGAGTATAACATCACAAGGGACATCTAATACAGTATTACAGAATTCTAGAGAGAGTGAGAACACATCTCATTAGACATTAGAAAAAAATTTTAAGCATTTATTTATTACTATTTTATGTATATGAATGTTTTGCCTACATGTATATAAGTGCATCTGTGCATGCAGTGCCTGCAGAGGTCAGAAAAGTGCCTGCATTGGATCCCCTAGAATGGCATTTTAGACTCTTATTAGTTACCACATAGACAGTAGAAACTGAACCCAGGTCCTCTGCAAGAGCAGTAAATGCTCTTAACCACTGAACCATCTCTCCAGCCCTAGAAAAGACTCAAGTACACACTTATAATGCTACACAAGAGGATCTCTGGAGCTTGTTTGCCAGGCAGTCTAGTCAAATTGGCAAATAGAGAGCAATTAAGACACCCAGCGCCTACCTCTGGCTCCCACACACATGCATACTCATGTACACACAAACACAAATGCTGTTAAAAAGAGGACATGGGGCTGGAGAGATGGCTCAGCGGTTAAGAGCACTGACTGCTCTTGCAGAGGACCCAGGTTCGATTCCCAGCACCCACATGGCGGCTACAAACCATCCTTAACTTCAATTCCAGGGGAATCTGAAGCTCTCTTCTGACCTCCGCGGCATTGCACGACACGGGTGCACTCACATGCATATATTTTAAATTTTTTTAAAAAGAGGACGTGAAGCAGGGTGTGGTGGACGTGTCTTTAGTTTCAGTACTCAGGAGACAGGCTGGCAGAGCTCTGTGAGTTCAAGTAGCTGGTCTACATAGCAAGTTCGAGGCCAGCTGGGGCTACAGGGAGACCCTGTCTCAAAAAAATAATAATAGGGCTGGAGAGATGGCTCAGCGGTTAAGAACACTGACTGTTCTTACCGAAGACCCAGGTTCGAATCCCAGCACCCACTTGGCAGCTGTCAACTTCCCATAACTCCAGTTACAGGGGATCCAACAGCCTCTTCTGTCCTCTGCGGACATTGCATGACACGGGCGCACTTACCTACATGCAAGCATACACATTAAAAAATAATAATAATATAGGCTGAGGCCTTGTGTTCAAGGCCAACCTAGGCTAAGACTTTCTAAGTAGGTAGATAGGTAGGAAGGAAGTCAAACTTTGGACACCTTGAGTCACATACAGGTATGTGGCTTGTCAGCCTTATAATCTGTCAGCCTTACAATCTCAGTTTACTCTTCAGTTCAATAGGAAGTACAGAAGAAATTTTATTCAGAGGTTTATGAAAGAGTGAATTAACTTAACACACATTGACAGATTGATGTTCCTCAGTGTGTTAACTTATATGTTGATGTAATGTTTTAAACAACTTTTAATAACTTAGAACAAGTTTGAGCTGAGATTATAATTCAGTCTGAGCTCTCACCTGGCATGTACAAGGAATTTTGCATTGCAAAAAAGAAAAACAGAACAAATTCAAATAAAATATTTGCAGAACCCCTCAGTTATATCCTCAGAACCTTGTGCTTCATAGAAACCCCTTTGCTCAGCAGTGAAGGAGGGGTGGGGTTTGATCATATGTGTTGGTACATGTCTGTAATCCCAGCACTGGAGAGGCTGAGGCAGGAGCATTGCCAGAAGTTTGAAGCCAGCCTGGGCTACATAGGAAGACCCTGTCTTAAAAAATATTAAAGATCAAGGTATAGTGTTGTACTCCTTTAATCCCAGCACTCAAGAGGCAGAGGCAAGTGGATCTCTGTGAGTTCAAGGCCAGCTTGGTCTACATATTGAGTTCTAGGACAGCTGGAGCCACATAGCGAGACCCTGTCTCAAAAAAATTTATCTGTGTGTGTGTGTGTGTGTGTGTGTGTGTGTGTGTGTATGTTCTTATGTATGTATGTATGTATACTTATGTATGTGTGTATATATGCAACAGATGAACAAGTGGGTTGGATTTAAGTAGTACAGAGAAAGATAGAAGAAGTGACTTAGGGGAACATGTGGGTACAGAGTTTGAGATGGCAGAGGATCTTGAGTCTATTCTCTTTAAACAGAAGCATTGATATTTTTTTTTGATGGGGGGCGGGTTGTTGAGACAGTGTCTTTTTGTAGCCCCATCTGGCCTGGAACTCACTATGTAGACCAAGCCGGCCTTGGTCTCACAGAGATCCACTTGTCTCTGCCTCCTGAGTACTGGGATTAAGGACATATGCCACCATACCCAGCCACTGATGACTTTTAGGTAGGAGATGGCATGTACTTAAAGAACTATCCTTAGAAAAGAACTGATTGCCTTGTAGAAAATAAACTAGTTGCAGAGTTACTCAGTCGTCCAAACAAGAATGACTGAGCCTGAGCTAATGTGGCTGTGGCAGTGATAGAAAAGATGGCTGTGACCAGGGAAGAGAATGGAGAAGCTGTTGCTTTCTTCCATGGACTGCTAGTGGGAGAAGAGAGCCAAGCATAACACCAAGGTATCCAGCCTTGATGAAGTGGGAGATCCTTAGAACAGTCAACAGAAATGAGAGAGAGCTCAGGAAAGGCCAGGCATGGCAGCATGCACCTGTACTCAGCACTCAGGAGACTTGAGACAGGAGGAGGACTGTGAGTTCAAGGCTAATCCAGATCAACCATATAGCATGACCCTGGTTTGGGAAGAAGGGATACAGAGAGAGACAGACACAGGGAAGGGGAAGGGAGAGGAGGGAAAAGGGAAAAAGTCTGAGATTAGAGGTGTAATATTCTGCATCTTAGGAGATACTCAGACTTTTGATTTAAGGGGAAAGTAGGACAGGCAGAGTAGGATGTGGGGTACCTCCATGTAAGACCCCAGGCTGTGATGTTCTAGATGCTTCATTTAGAGCTGGAGATGAGATATTCAAGATTGAATCCCTTGAGCTAAAGACCCAAGAAGAGCTGAGGAGAGCTGGATGCTTCCACCTGTGTTAAGTCTAAGAAATCTACCTTGATAACTTTCATCACAAGATAGCACCCTGCCCCTGGCCACCCCAGAACTCATCCCTAGTCCTTACCTGCTTTCTGTTTCCATCAGGTCGAGCTTCAAATGGCCCAAGAGGAGACCCGTCGCTTAAATATAGAACTACAGGAGTCCAAGGGCCAGCAAGAGGAGCAGGGTGCTCAGGTTCAGCAACTGAAGGACAAGGTGGCCCACATGAAGGATACCCTAGGCCAGGCCCAGCAGAAAGTGGTGAGTGGAAGCCCCCAGGCAGTGGGAGCAGTGAAAATTTTCTAGCATAGAAACATTTGGTTGGTCAGAGAGACGTGAGAAAGACAGCTAAAGCAAACAACATAATCCTGGGCCCTGACGAGGGTGGCTCCCTGTTCACAAGTGATTGCCTTGATCTCCACCTCTTTCTCTGGAGGCTGAGCTGGAGCCCCTGAAGGAGCAGCTTCGAGCAGTCCAGGAGCTTGCAGCAGAAAGCCAGCAGAAAGCCGCCCTTCTTGGGGAGGAGTTGGCCAGCGCAGCAGGAGCCAGGGACCGCACCATAGCTGAGCTGCACCGGAGCCGTCTGGAAGTGGCCGAAGTCAACGGCAAGCTGGCTAAGCTCAGCCTGCACCTGAAGGAAGAGAAGTGCCAGTGGAGCAAGGAACGGGCAGGGCTGCTGCAGAATGTGGAGGTAGAGGGTGACCCTTGCCCCCACCTCAGGAACTCCACCTGTGGTCAGGTGCCCTATGAGGAGGGGAGAGGGGATGAGATCCTTGGAGGACTTGAGGTGAGGGCATGATGAGCCCTGACAGGGAATCCCAGTCCCAGTCACCATAGCATCTGCCCTAGTTACCATGCTAGGTACAGGAACATTTTCTGTCATAGGCACCAGGCTCTGCCATAATGCCCATTCCTGGTCAGCACAGCACCTCATTGTCATGTCCTATCCTGCTCTCAGGGGGGATCAGAAGTGAGAAAGATACAAAAAAGGAAATTTCTGAGAAATAATATAGTCCCTCAGTCCCATAAAGGAAGGGACCGGTGAGGGCAATGCTATTTCCATGGCATCCCTGGTCCTCACCTCCCTCCCATCCTCCTTTGGCCCATCTCCAGACTGAGAAGGACAAGATCCTCAAATTGAGTGCGGAGATCCTCCGGCTGGAGAAGGCAGTACAGGAGGAGAGGAGCCAGAGTATCGTGTTCAAGACTGAGCTGGCCCGGGAAAAGGATTCTAGCCTGGTAGGCTGCTCCACCACCATGGGTTCCATACTGTGTCCTGATGTATTGCTGAGCTTTCACCGTCCCTTGGCTCTGGGCTCAATCTATGTTGGGTGACCTCTCACTTGCAGACCTCTCAGTCCTCATTGGTTTGCATGTGCACAGCCCCTTTCTGCTCTCAGGGCCTGGTGGGGATGACTTAAGGGAGTTACAGAGTGGTTACTGATACTGTCAATGCCTCTTCACCCCAGCCTGAGGCAGTCATTAGGTCCACAATTAAGAGACAGACTAGGACTCAGCATGAGTAGGACTCAGCATGAGTCTCAGGGGCCAAGACCAAGGCCTAGAAGAGGAAGCACATGTGTGTGGAGACAGAGAGGACCTAGTCTAACTGTTGGACCAGGTTCTGGTGGCACATCCTAGGCTCCAGTTTCCACAAACCCTTTTCCCTCAGGTGCAGTTGTCAGAGAGTAAGCGGGAGCTGACGGAATTGCGGTCAGCCCTACGTGTGCTCCAGAAGGAAAAGGAGCAGTTGCAGGTGGAGAAACAGGTAAGAGCCTACAATTCGGGCCCTAGATACCAAAGCTGAGGGCTTGGGGACTGAAACCTCTGCATCTTCTTGGTATTCTCTTGACTCAGAAACTAGAATCTCTGTGAGGACCCAGAAGCTGAAAAGGGAGCCATGGTTCTTCTAATGAACTGGCTTACCACAGGGGAGGAATGCCAGGAGCAGGGAGAGAGGCACAGGGTGGAGAGGGCTCCGTGTACAGGAAAGGCCACTATACCAGCAGGGTTGGCACCTTGCAAGCTTTAGCACCTGACTTTTCCTCTTCAACTCCAGGAACTGCTAGAGTACATGAGGAAGCTGGAGGCCCGGCTAGAGAAGGTGGCAGATGAGAAGTGGAATGAAGATGCTGCCACAGAGGATGAGGAGGCCACTGCAGGAATGAGTCTGTACACCCCCAATCTCATGACACCTTTTCTTCTCTCCTCCCTTTGTGGGTTAAAGCTCCATGCCATGCCCTGGGAGCTGCCGAGCCTTCCATGTGTTTCTCTTTTTTCCTTCCCATTTCCTGGGCCTCTTTAGTTGAACTGTTCCCCTCCTCAGGGGAAGCCTGGCTAACCTTTCTTCTCTCCCTGCCTCCCCTACCACAGGCCGCCCTACAGCTCTGACAGACTCAGAAGACGAGTCCCCAGAGGACATGAGGCTCCCGCCCTATGGCCTGTGTGAGCGTGGAGACACAGGAGCCTCTCCCCCTGGGCCCCGGGAGCCTTCTTCCCTGGTTGTCATCAGCCAGCCAGCTCCCATTGCTCCCCACCTCTCAGGACTGGCTGAGGACAGCAGCTCTGACTCAGTGAGTATGAGAGCCCAAATGCAAATCAGTAAGCAGGCAATAGGGCCACACCTGAACCCCAGCCCAGAGAAGAAAGCCTATACCATACAGGACTCCTATTTTGGGGGACCAGGTAGTAGGAAGGAGAGCAGGCCTAGCCTTTCTTCAAGTCTACCAACAGAACCACCCCAAACCCAGGACAGACCAATAGCCTGGCTGCTTCCGGGTCCCCTCCCCTCACCCACCAGCCCTAGCTAAATGCCATTCCTGCCTCACTCTTCTTGCCACTCTCTGCACTGCCCCAGCCTTGGCTTCTCAGTCCTTACCTGTCCCAGTATGCTGCTTCCACACCCTGGGACACCACCCTAAACCCAGCCCTGTGTCTGATACCAGGAAGCTGAAGATGAGAAGTCAGTCCTGATGGCAGCTGTACAGAATGGGGGCGAGGAGACCAACCTGCTGCTCCCAGAACTGGGCAGTGCCTTCTATGACATGGCCAGGTGAGGGCAGCAGATTGGGGGGCAGGGGGGTTCAGTGTGTGAATAGCCACCATGCCCTGTCCCCAGCATCCCCCCTCTTGGCCCAGCCAAGAAGAAGAGAATTCTGGTGTGGTTAACTGAAAAATCACCCACCTCCATGAATCCCAGGTGGCTTCAGGTTGTCTACCCCTCTCCCTTCCTTTGACTGGCTTCTGTATTGTTCTAGCATCATCTTCCACGGAGCCCAAATTGCCCTGCTTCCCCTCTCTTCTGCCCCTACCCCTTCCCCAGCTACCAGGTGGGTACCTAGGCTCCTCAGGAAAGAAAAGTGATCAAGGCCTAGGGATGGACACTGAGAGAAGACCGCAATCCAGCATCAGCATCTGTCTGGCTATGCCTGAGACACTGTGCCTTGTCCCTGACTTCCTGGGGAACTCTGGGAAGGGAATCTGGGCAGGGGATTCAGGTATCAGATTGCCCCTTCTGCCTTGCTCTCCTGCTCTAGTCAAGTGGGCAGGGCTTGGAGAAGACAGACTTTATCACCCGGCCCCCAGCTCTGCCTGGAGTGAGCCGGGCTCAGGGCAGGGATGCTGTCATCTTTCTCGGCTGGAGCAGAAAGATGAAGGACGGTGTCAGACTCATTTTCAGCCTCATTAGGCAGCAGACGGAGATGGAGGGAGGAGAGCTGCAGATTGGGGGATGGGCCTTGCACTAGAGGCCCCAGCAGGGACTCATAAAGACAGGGCATGGAGATCTGGAGTATGGTGTGCAGAAAGATGCCGTAGGAGAGGCTGGAACAGAGAATGACCAGGATAGCATACTAGGAGCAAGAAAATGTGAGGACTTGAATGCATGGGTCTTGCTCCTGGGGATCCACAGGTCAAGAAGACCACAGAAGTCAGGCGTTGTAGCCCCTGCCTGAAATTCCAGCACTTGGGAGCTGGAGGCAGGAGAATCAGGAGTTCAAGGTCATCTTTGGCTACATAGCAAGTCTGAGACCCTGTCTCAAAAACTCAAAATAAAAAAATGAAGAAGGCACCAGAGCACACTGACTTCTGACTTCCTCCTCTTTCCCTACCTGTCTTTAGTGGCTTTGCAGTGGGTCCTCTGTCAGAGACCAGCACTGGGGTCCCAGCCGCCCCTCCATGGAAGGAGTGTCCTATCTGTAAGGAACGCTTCCCTTCTGAGACTGACAAGGACGCCATGGAGGACCACATGGATGGACACTTCTTTTTCAGCACCCAGGACCCTTTCACCTTTGAGTGACCTCACTGTCCCTAGTATGTGCAAAACACACACACACAGTTTGCTTTCATGCCTGTACCCCATCACACTGGGTTCTATGATATTCTGTCCCTAAGAACCATGCCTGCGTCTACATTCATCCCGAGCTTTCTAACTCCATCCTCCTGTCTGTTTGCTCTGTCCCAGACAGAAGTGTGTCTTGAAAGCTGTGGCTGAGTTTAGCTCTGAAAGCAGTTTTCAGGTGCCAGGATAAGGAAGGCCTTCCCCTGTGGGAACAGAATTATCCATCGCTAGCCTGGATACACAGCCAACACACACACACACACACACACGTACCCTTCTCTGATGCCCCAAAGCCAACCCCTGGGGCACTCCACTCTCTTTATTTGGGGTTTGTTTGTTTACTCAGTTTTCTCCCGGGCCTGCATGGGGGCAGCAGCATGGGCATCATAACCTCATCAGGTCTCCCAGTTCTTGGCTTCACTGGTTCCTCTGTTACCTGTTGCCTTTCACACTATACCCCTCCCCAGCCTTTTCTGTAGCCTTAGATAAGTTTGGAGGTTTCTTTTGTATTTTTAAGGATTCCTGTATTGTCTCATGGCCACTCCATACCCGTGTCCTCAAATGGAAAAGAAATGTATTTGTGCCTTTTGTGAGGGCTGGAGGGGTGAGGGATTCCCAGGTGTCCCCATTTCCCAGCCCCTCCCCCTCTCCAGGTCCCCCACAGCAATAAGAGCTCCCTTCCCCCTCTATCCCCCCCTTATCTGTAGTTTGAACAAATATATTTATATGATATGTGTAACCGTTGTCATAAAGTGTGTTCTTACCAAGAGGAGTGACTAGAGCAGAAGGAGCCTCGTGTTCCTAGATCCTGGTGGGGGCAAGGTGATGGGTAGGCACTTTCTCAATGTGCCTTCTGGTGTGCTAGTCACCAGGGGCCAGAGCAGGAGGAAATAACCTTTATCCCAAGGCAGGGCGGTCTGGCCTGGAACATGTGAGAAGGGCGCCAACTGATAGGGGCAGGGGCCATGCGGGCATCCACTGCTCACACGTTCACCTTCCATGGTCATCCTTCCTGCACCCAGAGCCAGTAGAGATGTCTTACTCCTGTCAAGAGTGCACACCTTTGAGTACCACCTAGTGAAATGGGCCCTAAGCTTCTGTCTGCAGACCATCTGAGTCCTCCCATCCCTACCTCCTTGCATTGCATCCTCACCCACAGGCACACTCTGATTCCACAGTCACAGGAATACATCCGTCCACCCTAACCAGCTTTCTGGGTGACACACATCCATAGCATCATAAAGCATTTATTGAGGACCTGCATGCTCACCAAGGCTCTCAGTGTGCCCTGCCACATATGGCTACAGCTCTTTAGTTCTCTGTCCCAAGAGCACCCTGTCAGCACCCTTCATTCCCTTCAGGGTCACTGGGTGGACCACCCTCACAATTCTCTGTCTCCGTCCACCTGAAACTGTCGGGTCCACCCCCCTTCCTACCCCACCTGGATGACATCTTACATCCTTCCTTCTCGCACGTCTGTCTCCTAGCAACCCCATCTCATTCTCTGAATCCTTTCCAAGGAAATTAGAGATAATGGATCTCTCTTCTCTCTCCATCTCAACCCCTCTTTATTGATCCTCTTTTAATGAAAGTTAATTATAACAATGATTTAATTAATAGAATCCCTCTCTTCCTTTATTGCTTCCCGTATTAAGACTATTAATAAATACGAGCTGGGCTGACAGAAGCATCCATCACTCGCCTGGGATTTCCCCCAGCCCTCCTTTTCTTCTGCTTTGCTCCCCCTCCCTCTCTTGGCCTATAAACTTGCTGGGGTAGTGGGGGTTAATCAGAGAGGAATTATGAGCCAACATCCCCAGCAGGAGGTGCATTTAATGAAATCACTTGTGATTTATGTCTGGGGGAGGTTGGGAGGGAAGAATCTGGGACCCACACATTCTCACTTCCAAGAGGTTGGTCCCCTGGTGCAAAAGAAGAAGGGAGACAGCAAACGGATCCAGACCCAGTCTGTCTGCTCCCTGCCAAGCACCCCACCACACAAAGCTACGCCAGACCATTGACACACTGTCACACTAGAGGCCCTTTGGAGAACTGTGCTCCTTCCTCCTCTCCCAGACTTTCTGAAGGCCCTTCTACCTCTGTTTGTTTCTCCTCAGTTCCATCCTGCTTCACCCTCAACAGCTTTGCCATGCTTCCTCCTCCATGAAGCCCTCAACATGGAAATCAAGCACGTCCAGCTGCTCCTTTCTCTAGGATTCATGTGTCTGTCCATGTGTGATGTGTGTAACCCTGGGACTTCTACAGGTGTTTGGAGCTGTTCCTCTTCCTAACTCAAGATTTATTTCACTGTCCAAACCTTAACTTGGTGCAGGGAGGGAAGATAACTGGGCTCCTATTTCAGTCCTGCCTCCTATATACTGTGGTATTTGGCAACTCAGTCTTTTACACTGTTTCCATTCTGGAATGGACTCCTTCCCTCCCTGCTTCCCAGCATCCATGACAAAGCTGAGAGACCCTAAAGTCCTGGAGTAAAGGGAAAAGCCAGATGAAGCAGCAGCAAACAGGAACTCATGTCAGTATTTGGCAGTCAAGGCATGAATCTGAACACATCAGTCCTCTCAGAACCTCAGTGGCTGCCCCTTAATCTGCAGGAACATTGAAGTGTGGATGACTTAGTGCACCAGGCAGGATCTTCATTATCTAGTCCCAGTGTGCCTTTCTACCTCCCATCCTGCTCTGAGGACCCTCGTGTTCTAGAAGAATAGAACCAACCATTCCACAAAAATACAAACTGTTTTTTGCATAACTAAGCACCTACTCTTCTATCAGCTCAAAGGACATTTAATAACCTGACTTAACTTCTCAGCCATCCTCTGAAAAGGATATACCACATGTAACATGTTTATAAAAACGCACTGTGGCCGGGCGTGGTGGCACACGCCTGTAGTCCCAGCACTTGGGAGGCAGAGGCAGGCAGATCTCTGTGAGTTCAAGACCAGCCTGGTCTACATAGTGAGTTCCAGGACAGCTCAGGCTACAGGGAGACTCTGTCTCAAAAAGACAAAAACAAAACAAAAACACTGTGGCAGGGCTAAAGAGATGGTTCAGCAGTTAAGAGCACTGGCTACTCTTGCAGAGGACCCAGGTTTGGGTCCCAGCACCCACAAGGTGGCTAATAACCTCCCATAACTCCAGTTCTAGGGGACCTGATGCCCTCTTCTGGCCTCTGTGGACATTGTATGTATGTGGTACACTTCTGTACATGCAGGCAATACACTCATACACATAAAATAAAAATAATATTTTAAAACAGACACTAGGACAGCTGGGTGTGGTAGCATATGCCTAGAATCCCAGTAGTTGGGAATGGAGGCAAGACAATTTCAAATTCAAGGTCAGCCTGAGCTACATAGTAAGATCTCATCTTAAAAAAAAAGGGGGGGCTGGCCAGGAGAGGTGGCTCATGCCTATAATCCTAGCATCCAGGAGACTGAGGCAGGAGGACTCCTGGAAGTTCTAGGCAGCCTGAGCTCAGGAATGGGGTCCTGTCTTGAAAGGGAAAAAAAAAAAAGAACCACAAGGAGGGGCTGGAGAAAAGGCTCAGTTCAGTTCTTAAAGAGCACCAGCTGCTCTTGCAGAGGACTCAGGTTTGGTTCCCAGCAACTGCCCACGGGATCTTGTGTCCTCTCTGGCCTCTGCAATCATTACACACACGTGGTGCACCTACATAAATACAGGCAAAACATATACTTTTTAAAAAAAAAAAAAAAGCTTGCTTTGATGGCACATGCCTTTAATTAATCTTAGCACTTAGGAGGCAGAGGTAGATGGATATCTATGAGTTAGAAGCCAGTCTAGTCTACATAGTGAGCTCCAGGCAACCAAGACTACATAGAGAGACCCTGTCTCAAAATAAATATTTTAATCTTTTAAAACATTTCTATTTATTATTTTTATTTTATGTGTATGAGTGTTATGCCTGCATGTAGGTAAGTGCACCCGTGTCATGCAATGCCCATAGAGGAAAGAAGAGGCTGTTGGATCCCCTGGAACTGGAGTTACAGACAGTTGTTAGCTGCCTTGTGGGTGCTGGGATTCAAATCCAGGTCTTCTGCAAGAACAGTCAGTGTTCTTAACTGCTGAGCCATCTCTCCAGCCCCTAATTTAAAAAAAATTTTTATGTGTATGAGTGTGTTGCCTGCATGTATGTGAGTGCACCTGTGTCATGCAATTAAATTTTTAAATTAAAAAACACATAAGGGCAGGAATATAATTCAGTAGTAGAGCATTTGCCCACTTTGTACAAACCCTGGGTTGGCTCTCTAGTACTACAAGAAGAACAAATAAAACTCCGTTCTATATCATGTATACAAGTTTTTCTTCTCTCTATAAATAACACAAAGGTAGGTTTGAGTTTATGCATCTCTGTGGTTCCAAAACCTAATATAAAAATTGGTAGAGGTTGAGGCCTCAAAAAAATTTCATTATATTGAAAAAATATTTCATACATAAAAATATATAAAGAATAATAAAATAGCATCACAAGTGAACTCATCAACTTAAGCCACCAAGCATCACTAATGTCTCTGAAGTGCTGTGTATTGCCTGACAAAAACAAAATGTGCTGTCAGTTGCTATAGAGAAGTTTGTTAACTTAAGAAACATTGGTGGGGGCTGGAGACATGGCTCAGCAGTTAGCAGCATTTGCTGCTCTTGCAGAGGACCTGGGTTCAGTTCCAAGCACCCACATGACAGTTCACAACCATTTGTGACTCCAGTTTCAGGAAATCCAATGCCATCTTCTGGCATTTGTGAGCACTGCATGTCAATGGTGCACATACATGCAAGCAAATACACATAAAATAAAAATAAATAATTTTTTTAAAAATATGCAGGGCTAGAGAGATGGCTTAGCAGTTAAGAGCACTGACTACTCTTGTAGAGGACCTAGATTCAGCTCCCAACACTCATAAGGCAGGTAACAACCATCCATAACTCTGGTTCCAGGGAATCCAATGCCCTCTTCTGGCCTCCACAGGCATTGCACACAAGTGGTTACATACATGCAAGGAAAACACACACATAAAAATTAAATACATAGCCAGGCATGGTGGCGCATGCCTTTAATCCCTGTACTTGGGAGGCAGAGGCAGGCGGATCTCTGTGAGTTCAAGGCCAGCCTGGTCTACATAGTGAGTTCCAGGACAGCTGGGGCTATAGGGAGACCGTGCCTCAAAAAGACCAAAAAAAAAAAAGACATTAAAAAAAAAATTAAAGACGTATGCCAGAGTTGGTGGTACCTTTAATCCTAGTACTTGGGAAGCAGAAGCAGGCATATCTTTGTGAGTTTGAGACCAGCCTGGTCTACATAGTTCCAGGCTAGCTAGTACTACACAGTGAGATTCTATCTCAAAAAAACAGGCCAGGCATGGTGATCCACACCTTCAGTACAGCACTTGGGAGATGAGAGGAGGCAGGTAGATCTCTGTGAGATTGAGGCCGTCCTGGTCTACATAGTTTTGGGCCAGCTGGGGCTGCAGGGAGACTCTATCTCAAAAAGTAAAAAAATGAAAATAAAGATAAAATCACACAAGCAAGTGTGGTGGCACATGCCTTTAATCCCAGCACTTGGGAGGCAGAGGCAGACAGATCTCTGTGAATTCAAGGCCAGCATGGTCTATATAGTGAGTTCCAGACCAGCTAGGGCTACAGGAGACCCTGTTTCAAAAAGACCAAAAATAAAATAAAATCACACACACACACACACACACACACACA